AACTGGACACCCTTCCTTGATATGAAAAATAAAAAGGGCTTGGGATGTTGCTCAGTGGTAGAGCTCTTGCCTACAAGAGCTAAGTTAAAAAGTATGAAGCCCTGGGTTCGATCCCCAGCACCACACACACACACACACACCTGGACACCCTTCCTTGATATGAAAAATAAAAAGGGCTTGGGATGTTGCTCAGTGGTAGAGCTCTTGCCTACAAGAGCTAAGTTAAAAAGTATGAAGCCCTGGGTTCGATCCCCAGCACCACACACACACACACACACACACACACACACAGGACTGGATATATTGAATTATCATCATCTAGCAAGTGTTGTCACTTAACATTACTGTCAGTTACTGTGTTATGTGTGTTTAATGCTTTTTTGTGCATTACCCCCGTCAAGCTTCACAACTGTTTGTAGTTAGTACTGCTACTATTAGCTTTCATATCACAGAGGGTAAAACTGTGGCACCTAAAGTTCGAATAACTTTTCCAAGATTCTGGTGCTTGTAGGGCTAGGATTTAGCTCCAGCAATCTGCAGTCATTGTCTGCACATCTGTTTTTCAAGCTGTCCAGCCCCAAACCTGAAGCATTTGAATTCACTGAGTTAGAAAGCTTTGGAGGGAGTGTTGGAACAGAGCTGTAACCTCTAGTTCTGATATGCCCCTTCTTTCTCAAAGGACAGGGGTCCCAGTGCCTATCCATGGTCTCTATATTGCTTCCCAAGGCTTCCTCCACTAAATTCAGCCTAGTTAAGTCTGTACTACTCAGCACTAAGCTCCAGGGAAACTTCCCCAGAGTCTAGGCTGAGCCCCAACCTCAGCATTCTGTACTTTGTATGTACCACTTAAGTTAACTACAATTAAACCATTCTTTGAACAACTATTTGTTTAAGGTCTATCTCCCCTACTTAACCACAAACAGTAGCAGTTTCAGAATTTCTGTATGGGTGGGAACAGGTAACATGGGRAGGAAGGCTTGGCTTCCATTGTTTAATACTTGACATAAGGCTGAGGAATGGCAATTGAACATAGAAATGAATAAGGATGCTGTGGAGATTATAAGAGGGAAGCACACCCTCCCCTTAACCCCCTCTTCCTCCTCCTGCTCTGTGGCACCACCACTGACTATAAGCTCCATAAGGACAAAAATAGTCTGGCTATTCTCACTGCAACCTCAACACCTGGCACTATGCCTGACACACAAGAAGTGCATAATAATTTTTTTATGGAATTAATGCATAAATAAAATGGAAACTTGAACTTCATGTATGAAAGAAGGATGCTAAGCCCAGGACACAGATTTTTTTTTTTTTTTTTTTTTTTTGATGCTGGGTACCAAACTCAGGGTCTTGCACAGGCAAGGTATACTCTCAAAGGCTGAGCTACACCCAGGGTTCCCCTAAGACCCTAAGACACAGTTTTTAAACGCAGCATTACCTATGAAAACATGCTGAGCACAAGACTGGCATTTAGTAAGTGCTCCATAGATGTCTGTCATTGAATTGAAATTCCTTCCTCTCACTCCCACTAACTCATCTCTCCAATCCTGGCAAAAGTAACAGCTTAATGAAAGTACAAAGTCCAGAACTGAATCCACTCTACTCACAGACATTTGCATTGGGGTTGGGCTGAAAAACTGTCATTAGCATGGCAGGAATGCAAAATTACTAGGATTTGCCCCTAGCAGATAAGTTAGAGTTAGGGAAAATATTAAGTGGCTTTGGAACAGGAAAAAAAAAAATAAAATAAAAGACAACAAAATCCTTCAGCACAGGCCAGCCAGATTCCTTATTCCAAAAGAGTGGATATGGTATCTTCTACCTGCTAAGGAGCAAATGTACCCCATCTCCCCATAATCCTTCACCATTGGCCTCAGGGATGCTGGGGAAGTTTAAAACACAAATAATGTGTGTTACATCCTGCTTAAAACTCCTCACAAGGCTTGCTTCAACCTTGCAGGTCAGATTGTAGCCCAAACCTGTCAACAACTCCACTGTATCAGTCTCTCCTAGGCTGCCCAGCCTGAGATGTTTTCAACTCTTTCTCAGGCTCACTTATCAGTCTTTAATCTCAACTCACATCTATAAACTCTGTCTCAGAAAGACATTCCCTAGCTGGGCGCTATGGCAGATCCCTGTAATCCCAGGAGCTGGGAGGCAGAAGCAGGATTATCATGAGTTCAAAGCCAGCCTCATGAATTTAGCAAGGCCCTAAGCAATTCAGTGAAACCCTGTCTCAAAAAAAATATAAAAAAGGACCGGGGAGGTRACTCAGTGGTTAAGTGCCCCAGGGTTCAATTCCCAGTACCAAAAAAAAAAAAGAAAAACACTCCCTATGCCCCCAATCAATCCCTGCCATGCTCTCAGAGCATGCTTATTTGTGCCTTTTTTTTTTTTAATATTTATTTTTTAGTTCTCGGCGGACACAACATCTTTGTTGGTAAGAACAAAAGATGGTACGTAGTGCTGAGGATCGAACCCGGGCCGTACGAATGCCAGGCAAGCGTGCTACCGCTTGAGCCACATCCCCAGCCCCTTATTTGTGCCTTCTAACACTTAGTATAGCCTTGAATCCTACAGTCAACCTCCTAAAAGTACTGAGCAATCTCGCCTTCACTACTTGTCCTCAGTCAGTGCAGGCCCTGCACAGAACTGAATGAATGAATTTTTCATAACTGCTGCCCTAAACTAATCCTCCACTTAGGTTCTAAGCAGAACAAGAAAATGGTCTCCAGTGCACTTCAGCATTCCCATCACACTGTATGGGTCACCAGAGCCCCTTCCAGATAAGGACTTAGAGCTCCTCCTCCTTCCCCATTTGAGCTGGGAGTCTTCTCACTTTTTTCCCCCCCAAGAAAGCCAAGAAAAAGGCCATGAATGGAATCCTGTCTCTTAGCTAATTCCTCTAATAAAGGAAACAGGACAGCAACCCCACATTCTCAACATTCTCCATAACTTAAAAACAATTTATTTACTCTCATCCTTGTACATTTAATGCAAGGATTATGGATGAATACCAGCTGGAAAAACCATAATTGTTTAATTGCTTAAACGACATGCAAGGTGTGTGGTGCAGTAGACAGTTGATGGCAGAGTAGAAAGAACCAGGTTTCAAAGAACCAGGTAGAAAATCAGCACTACAATTTATTAGTGCTTCCGTTTACCATCTGCAGGACCCTTGGCCTCAATTTCTAGTCTGGCAAATGGAGAGAGTGACAATGAACTTCAATTCCCATAAAGGGAAGTTCTGAACAGCTGTAAAATCCCCCATTGTCCTGGTGAAATTTTTCTCTTGGCTTTAGAAAGGTCTTGGTCCTGAAGGAAGGCTGAGGTCCCCTGGGGGAGTCTGCTCTGGCCTCTAGAAGTTGGGTAAGTAATCACATGGGAGAGATGAGTCCAAGTGGTGAGAATATTTTAGACTAGGACACAGTGACCTTGGGTTCTAGTCTGGGCTCCCAGCTCTGCAGCTCCAGTCCAGCCCCAGGCGAGAGAGGCCTTTCATTGGTTTCTCTGACAACAGCTAAGTGCCGACCTATGGTGGTGCAGGAAGAAATAGCCTCACCATCTTCGTGGGAAGGCTGAACACTAGCAAGACACACCTTACAGGGATTTCAGACTCAAGCCCAGCTCTTATCCTGGCATCAAAGCCACCCCCTACCCCTGGCTCCCCGGAGACTACAATCTCCTCTGTTCCTGGGCGGAGCTGGGCCTACAGAGAAGGTTCTCTCCTTCCTTACCAGGAGTCAGGCCTAATGGCAGGGGCTTTTCTATTCACAGGCTTGGGGCTGACCCCCCCTCCCGCGCCCCCACTCATTAACAGCAAAGAAAGGATCCCCGGCCATTTCCATTTCCTCTGTGGCTCAAGAGCCCTGTTATTTAATCCCGCGGCCACCCTGGCCGCATCCTCAGTGCGGCGGGCTCCACCCATGCACCTGGCCAGTTCTCTGCTTCTCCCGCTTCCCTTTAGGGGAGCTGGAGGGGGAGGCGGGGATGGAAGGGGGTTTTGGAAAGTCGATTATGGCAGCCACCGGCCGTCGGCCTTCGATGGACGGATGCTCCTTAAGCCAGTGTCCGGTGAAGGCTCTGATACCTGTGGGGATAGAGTGGGAGGCAACTAGCCAGGACTGCAGAGGGCGGACAGARGCTCCTGGCACTAAGGAGATTACATTCGGGAGTGGGGAGGCCTCTGGCTGAGTGGACAGAATCGCCCCGGGGGGTATTGGAGCCGGAAGAGGCCTCGGCCCAGTCACTGTCCACACCCAAGAAATGGGGGAGGGGTGGTCTGCACTCAAGAAAGATTCAGCCTTAAGGAAGGAACCAGATTCACTCAACAACCCCCACCCCGCCCTTCTTGAATATGGGCGATGGACGTTTTCTTAATTTCTGGTAAAAGCAGATTCAAAATTCCTTCCCCCAGCCCCCAACGCCCTTGGGCGCCGCTGGTCCCAGCAGGGGTTCTCTCACCCCCGCCCCGCACACTGCCTGCGGCGGGAAGAGATACCCAGATCTAGGTGTGTCCACCCCCACCCTGCTCTGAGCCTCGYATCCGGAGGCCGCAGCGCCCCCCACCCCCAGCGACACTGAGGGTTCCTGCCCAGGCCCGCAGTGGTGTGAAGGTTGCTTTTACCTCCTCTTGCAGGCTGGGAGGGGGTAAAGCCCGCGCAGCTGAACCAGCTGCAGCAGTCGCCGCCGCCCTCCATTCATTCAAAAAAAAAAAAAAAAAAAAAAACCAACAACAACCTCCGCCCGAACCTCCACCCCTCTTTGTAAAAGAACTACGGCCCCTTAAGGAGCCAGAGCCAGCCCCAGCAATCACGGGTTAAGTTCTTTTCCGGCCCCCCATTCATAAAAAAAGGAGCGCAGCGCATGCGCGCGCGGGGTCTCTTGTGCCCACCCATTCATAGAATCGCGGACTGCGCGCGTGCGCACTGGAGCTCCCTTCCCTCCCATTCATAAAAAAGCCATTTTCCCAGGCAGTGGTTGCAACATCGCCGCTGAGGCAGCGAGCAGAGCTGACAGCCCCGAGCTGGAGCTGCGGGACTCCGGGAGCCTTGCGGGTTCCTGTGGCTGGCGTCTGCGGGTACAGCAGCGGCTGACCCGCTTGGGTTCGGGGATTTACACAAACGTGGAGCGATGCTTGTGACTCTGCAGCTCCTCAAAGTAAGTCTATGGCCGGTTTGGGGATCCGAAACTGCCCCTTYTAAGCCACTACGCGACTCCCCTCGGGCTGGGGCAAATGGTGCGCTATTTCCAGTCGCGCTTCTGTGTTCCTTCCCTCTGCTTGCGTCTCCTGGAGTCGCTGCGGTGCGCCGCAGCTCCTTGACGCCCTCCGCCCGGCCGGCACGGCTCTGGGGGTGTTCAAAACCTGGCACCGCGGTTCCGACCCCTGGGCATTGCCAAGCCTGACTTCCCCGCCCTCTGCGACTCGGGAAGCCCCGTGCGCGTCCCGGGAGTTTGTCTCTGGCCTGGCCTCTTTCCTCCTGCTGCCACCACTCGCCTCGGGCGCTGGAACCGGAGGCTTTGGGCTTGGTCAGGAGCCACCACTTGGGTCTGGGGGGCGCCCTCGCCTTGGACAGCTCTCCCACCCCCGGGCTTCGTGCCCAAGGTGCCAGCTCTACCGTGAATCTCCCGAGCCCGCCGCAGCGGCCTATGCTCGACGTAGATTTTTCTTGCCCCTTCGGATTCGGGACCGACTGGGTTTCCCCCCTTCTGCCTCCGGCTAGATGGTCAGCTCGGGGCCAGCCGGGCATTTCTACTCCCTCTCCTTAGCTAGGCGGTTCCTAGCCGTCTGACCTTTGCTCGGCTGCCGCGTTTTATGCTGTGCAACTACCTTGCAGTTGCCTTTTCCTTCCCCTGCCTCGGCAGAACCCGAAACTCCTCGGCTACCCGGTGTCTCCCTATCCCAGAACACAGAGCTGTGCCAGGCCCCAGGGCCCCCGGACCTCGCTAGGTCTGGTGGGGGCTGAAGGTGCGTTTACATAACGCCGGTTGTGTGAGAGCTGGAGGAAGAGGTTGCGTGCGTAGGAGAGATARGGCTCCCACTTTCCCTCCTTCCTTCTTGGTGGTACCAGGCTTGACATCACCCAGGAGAGAGAATAGAGACGGTACGTTCTGAGAAATTCTGAATCGCCAAGGCCACGGGGGGCAAGGAGGGGKATGAGGCGGGTTTGGCCAGCCAGGGCAGCTGGAGTTTGGCTCCATCACTGGGGCCAGGGCTGTGCCCAGTTCCCCCTCCATGCAGACGATCAAAAAGCATTTAGACAGTAGCTGCTCTTGTGCAAGAAGACGGTTTCTCAATTCTCTTTGATTGGGGGCTGGGGGTTGTGGGCAGAAGAAGCAAGAGAGGCGGAAAATGGTTGCATGGCTTGAAGGGCTGAGGGATGTAGCGATTAGAGAAATGGGCTGGAGGGGCTGGATGGTGAGCTGAGGGTAGAGCTGCTTGCTTCCTCTCACCAACTGCTGGATGGGCATCCATATTGCCAGGCCTGGGTGAGAGCAGGAGGCCTCCTTATGGCGCAGTGAGCCTTGGGGAGAATCCCCCACCAAGGCTGTGCTGTAAGAAAAGGTGGAGGGAGATTCAGTGGGCGTCCARAACTAGTGGCAGCTCCCCCTCTTTCCTGCCTCTAAATCAGACCATGATTCTCTCCAGTTTGAGGAGAGGCCGGACATATCRGAGGCCAGAGAACCTGTGGAGGAAGGGAGCAAGCACATGTCTGGTTAGCAGACCAAGACTCTAACCTTCTTGACAAGCCTCTTGGGGATACAAAGCTGGAAGGTAAAAGGCCCAGAGCATTGGGAAATAGAGGTTTATCAATCTCTTAATATGCGCCGGCTGGCCTGAGGCCCTACCCAATATTGCACTGGTGGATTTCACAATGTTTAGAGTTCTCCGGATCTTCACACTAATGGAGCATAAACATCTGAAATTTTCAGCTTTTTTTCCATTTAGTGCTGGTGTGGGGTGGCCTAAGAAAAGGAGGGCTGCAGTTGGTCTCTCTTTCTCTGAGGGGTGAGAAAGAAGTTGTAGATATGTCACTGTGAAATTGCATTTCCTCTATTTCCATCCCTTGGGAGGGTCCTCATGGCTGGCTCCAGGTGAATCCTCATCTGGTGAACAGTACACACTGACCAATTGGAGCTATGTGGCTCCTCTGGGGAGGGGGAGAGGGAGCCTTTTGGTAGATTTTTTTTTTTTTTAATCTCCATGGACCGATATTTGCCATCTGGGATGAGGGAGACATTAAGGACATCTGTTGGTTRTCTTCCATTTTAGATTCTGAACTCAGAAGTCACTCCTTTGTGGATTGTGGGTGCCCCCCTTCCCTATCCCTCCTGCTTGATCCCATGACTCTTTCCATATTACCTTCTTGAAAGGCACTCTCTCCATAGAGTTTTGGTTGGGGATAGCGGAAGGAGACAGAACACATAGAATAGATGATTTCAAGCTGAAGCAGATTAGGGGCTGGGCACTAGTGAACATTTGGGGCTCAGAGGTGACGTTTTTGTCTGCATCCTTCCAAGATTATGGAGAGATGTGGCCTTTTGGAAATCAACCCTTTGACTACCTCCTACCCTTTCCCGCAATCTTGTAAACCTGACATTGCATGTTCCTAAAGGGTTGGCTAACTTTCCTGAATAACAAATTAAGACAAAATGTGAATGTCAGTGATTTAAAAATTAAGGGAGAGGGAGAAGCCTATTCATAAAGTGGCCCTTGAAATGTGTTGCTATGGGGCTTAATACTTTTTTTTTTTTTTTTGTCCTTTGTGATACTGTGGATTGAACCCAGGGGTGCTCTGCCACTTAGCTACATCTCTGGCTCTTTTAATTTTATTTTGAGACATGGTTTAGGTTGCCCAGGCTGGCCTGGAACTTGTGATCCTCCTGGGATTACAGGTATGGGCCACCACGCCCAGCATGGGGTTTAATACTTTGGAACCACATATAGGGATTTCAGATTCTGATGCTTAATGTCCCTTAGTGTGGCATCTTCCAGCTACCTATTTTGGGCCTCCACAAGCATTATTTATTTATTTATTTATTTTTATTAAATTAGGCCATCTAGTCAGGTAAGACCTAGATGTTGGCAGGAAGAAGACCTAGAAAGAGTCCTTCCTCTTTCTTTCAGAGAATTATAATTTTGTCCTGAATCTAGAGTACCTGTCTTCTTGGCCTCTACTAAGGTGCAAGTCCCTTGTGACAACAATCTCAATCCTGGTGAGGATTTTTGCCCTAGTCTGTGGGTTTGACAGTTGAAAGTGTGGGGTTTGAGATGTAGAAACAAACTCCAGACATTTTTAAGGCAAGGGAATAGCGAGAGTGGAGAAGGTGTTCCATCTCATGGTCAATCTGGATCTCCCTGACAGGGGAAAGCAGTAACTCATTTGGGGGGGGGAATACATACATATATATATATACATATATATAATTATATATATATATATATATAATTATATATATATATAATTTCATTTATTTTTATATGTTGCTGAGGATTGACCCTAGTACCTCACACAATAAAGATGAGCACTCTACCACTGAGCCACAACCTCAGCCCCTGGAATATACTTTTGCTCCCTCAAAAAAATCAGAGCAGTTGGACCTGGTTACTGGGAAAGATGAGGCAGAGGAATCCCCAAGTTCAAGGCCCTCCTGGGCAGCTTAGTGAGGTCGGATCTCAAAGAGAGAGAGAGAGAGAGAGAGAGAATTAGAGCATCTGGGGGCCAGGGCAGAGCAGGGATGAATGATTAGGCAAACCTGCTAAGCATGGGCCTTGATGGGGAACAGTCTTCCCCGAGGGCCTGCAGAGCAGCTAGTGAGTGGTCAGCACTAGGGCCTTGCTCCCTGTTACTGGGATCCTCAGAGGAGGGCCTAGTTTTAAGGGTGCCTCTAACTAACTAAATGCATCATACAGGAGGTGCGGGGTGTTGCATGATGTAAGAGGCGGGGTATTCTTGGTCTGGGGCCACCCTGCAGATCCGGGCAGCTGACAAGTCTGGGGAATGTATCCAGGACATGTGGCTGGGCTTAAGAGGCTCCACCATTCAGCTGTGATCTCGATTGTTCTTTCCAAGGACAGGCCCCAGTCAGTGGAGGAAGCAAGGGCACTGGGGAGGGAGCACAGATGTGCTGGGTCTAGTGGAGGAGGGAAGGGGCCCTTCGGGGCAGGTGGCCACTTTTAGAAGAGTGGTTTCCCTTGTCGGTAGTCTTGTCTGTTTCTGGCTCGGGGAAGGGGGAAGTCATTTCCTGCCTGGTCCCAGGAGTAAGCTAAAATCTATTATTGTCTGTTCATTTCTTGGTGGAGGGTAGGGAGACAAATAAGACCATCTTGATGTGTGTGGGAAGAAGCTCTCCCTTGGGGGTCTAGGGTTCTGGTCCCACATTGCACCTTGACTTCGGCCAGTACTTCCCAAATGATGGTGGTGGTTAGCAGGTTCCTTCTAACTTCCTAGCTCCCTTTTCTGACATGGCTATTAGTGTGTGTGTGATGCTGGGGATTGAACCCAGGGCTTCCATACACTAAGCAAGCCTCTACCACTAAACTACACCCCTAGCCCTCGGATTCCTCTTTTTTTTTTTTGGTGACCCTGATGTGATTTGAACATGATTCCTTTTTACAGGATCTGAGTAGACAACAATTAATGGGGTACTACAGTGAAGCCAAAACTTGAAGCTGGTTAAAATTACCCAGAACCAAAGTACAGCCAGTCTCCCACCCATTATATGCTGGGACTTTGGAACTCAGCAGATTGGTTGTGAAAGAAGGGAAAGAAGTACTGGGAATTGACAACTGGTGATAGGGTGAAGTGATGAAAAGCAACTGTTTTCTTTTGTGATCTCTGATAGATTGAGGTGAGCTCCTTAGTGCCGGTGCTGGGGGTGGGGAGGGGTGCTAGGGGCAAAGCAATTCGAGGAGAATGGAGGATTCCCAGACAAACCCAGCTGCCTTAAAACCTTTATTCTCCCACTGGGCCATTCTCAGCAGAGTTTGTCTTCCTCCTTAGGGTGCAGGGAAGGACAAGTCGCTGGCTTCCCTTGCGTCCCTTCACTTTAGAAGTCTTTTTAAAGCAATAAGTCAACATTTGGTTATAGCTTCATTAACTAACACAGGATATTGTCAAAAATAACCAAGCAATGGTGGTTGAAAGTGGTGCGCGGGC